CAACATTCAATAATTATAATTTTTTTTTTGAGAAATGCAAAACTAACAAAGGATATTTTGTTGTCCTTCCATAAGAAAATGTACCCAAAAAAGAAAATAACTTAAAAATTAACAGTAGTCATTTTTTTTTTGCATCATTGTTTTTCTCTAATTTATGTTGTTATTATTTAAAACGCAAATCAAAATCATGGAAAATTTTATTATTTTTATTATCCAATTGAATTTAACAAAGTTCACAAACAAGAACATTTGTCGACATTAACCCAAAAAAATCACTTGTCAATTGCCGTAATAGAAGAATATCAAGTGTTATCTTTTTATAGTTTAATTCTGGTCAGAGTTTTTTGTGTATATATATCAAATATATATATTAGTGAAGCATATCACATGTTCTTTTTTGTGACACCTACTTTTTGTTCACTATCAACCCTCGTTTTTGTGCTTTTCAAAGATTCATATGACGATGTAAAACCCAATTATTTCAATGAATTATTTGGCTGTAAATGTGACTACATGCAAGTAAAATGCAATAATGCAGTTTAACATAAAAATATCTCGAATTAAATGCCATAGAAGAAGTAATAATTTGAGCAATTCTGGGTATTTCCTTATAACAAAAATATAAATAAATAAGAAAAAGAATTGAAGTTAAAAAGTGACGTATGTAATGACATTAGTATATAGTAGATCCGTGAAGCCATCGTCCTCATTGTCTTGAAGACGCCCAAGCTAAAGTCAGCTGAATTTAAGCATCTATTTCTCTCTCTAATCAATAGATTAGCTTTTTAATTAGCTTATAAATGTTTCCATTATTCTTCTTTGACTTGAGAATGACATTCGTAACATGTTTATAAGCTAAACTAAACCATATCCAAGTGAGATGATGTGGACAACAAAGGAATGGTTTATGTTTATAATCATTTTTTTCAATGTGCTTAAGATGTGTTAATTTATTAAGTTGCAAACAACAAGGGGAAACACACAAAGGTATTTATTTGATTTTTTTTATTAAAAAGGGCAATAAAAATCGCAAAACTGTTGAATGGCGCATCAATATGAGGACCCCTCCAATTATTTTCCGACAATTATGAGTTTCAAAATACTTTGCTAAAATGCAAAAGAAACATAAAAAAATGGAACTTAGTATGTTTTTTTTTTGCGAGGAGTATATTTTGTTTCCTTTCAATTTCAGCCATTGAAAGATTGTCTCTTCGAGTGTTGAAAATACACAACCCTGTTTGTTTGATGCTTCTATTATAGCCATTTGATTTTCCACTTGGATTTACATTACTTAGAGCTCCGAACAATGAGACTTAGCTAGAACAAAAGGCAATTCTGATTTATGGAGTTTATAAATTACTTCTTAATTATATATACCAAGATGTATTTTTTGGTAACTAAGGAGAAAAATGTAGTGATTTATATCATTGTTATCGTCATACACACGTATCCAATCCAAATTGACTACCTTTGATATGCGAATTGTAGAAACAACGACAAAAAACAGTTTTGATTTCAACCATATTTTTGATGCAGAACCCAAAACACTACTTTGAGTTTTTATGATATATCTTGTAATACATAATAGTTGGAGTCGATATTGTGTTTTGATTTCAGTAATACTGTTTTAAGAAAGTAATATACACTTTTTATTCGAACATCTTTAGGAAAATAAAATAAAATTGGACGGTCCGTGTTGATAGTATATCGTGGGAATATGCCTCAACTTTAGCAACTATTATAAACAGGCCCATCATTGCCTCCACCACTTAATTATTTTCAATTTTGGCGACTTTTCATGGTCAAGTGCAGATCGTATAATCAACGAAACGAATCGCTCACTATAACAAAACTATTTCATTTTATGATTAAAATAATCGTATGATTGTATGTGGGAAACAGTTTTCTTCCAGATAAAAGGAGAATTGAATATTTATGCATAATGCCAAATTAGCAAGGGATTTAAAACCACATTAAGTTTGTGGATAAACTTTGACACTAATTATAACAACGAAGTTGCTATCAAGATTCCAACTTCATGAATTTAAAAACTCAAGTTGTGTATTTTTATCGTTTCTATTCATATCTGACTTCAAGTAAAGATTCCAG